TAATAATAATAATAGTAATAATAATAATAATAATAATAATAATAATAATAGTAATAATAATAATAAAATCAGGAAACCATAGACGAGAATAAAGCTAAATATCAGTAACAACGTTCATAGGTTCGACCGTGAGCCTATCACCCTTGAAATCCTGATGTCGATCGATATCTTCGGACAACAAGAACCAAAAGCTGGTTCCTTTGGATTTGTTTCGCTTTAATTATTACCCCGATATTTCGATCTCGCGATATTTTGAAGCTATTTTCGTTTTCCACGAACGTTTTACCCCGTCTGTACCTGAAAAACCGATTTGGAGCTACCAGAGCCCGCAAAATTATGGAAGGTGAGCAGCGGTTGTTTCGGTGCCATAGTCGCAAAGCACCACGGTATCTTCCTCTCTCTTTCTCCTCGATTCAAAGATGGTGGGTTTCTGATTTCATGACAACAATCCGGTGCCATCGTCACTAAAGTTACCTCTTTTCCACGTATCTTCTGAATTTCACGAAGATCAATGATCTATCTATTTTATGACAGAATGTCGCTGTACCATAATTTCGCAGTGTGGTCAAAATATCGTTTTTGAGTTTTCGTATAATTTCATGTCAAGATAGCTCTTTCTGGGATCCCTAGTTTCTGTTGTATTGTTGCAGACATATTAAATCAGACTAGTTTTGGGCTGTAGATAATGAAAGTATTATCGTGATGTCGTTTTAATGTAGCTCTGTAGATGATGTGTTTCGAGAATTTTCGTCTTGCACGGCTTTCGAATGTTCAAAACTTCGCTAATACTGGCCATGGTAGTTCATATGCGATGAAGACACTAGAACTATAATTTGGCACATAATTTTACTCACTGGCTTTATGTTTATAGCTTATCCAAACTTTTTTCCGTAGTGCCTTGAGTCAAACTGTATTTTAAGACTAGTTTGTCGAAGAACCTGAAGTTGAAAGACTTGGTATTTGGGGTTTTCTACACTTACATGTAGTAAAACGAACTGTTTACATTGTAACCGATATCACAGACATTTTAAGGCATTTGTATACAATAATAATTATTTTGTGAATATTTTTGTTTTTTACTACTTGAAAATGTTGTGGTTAGCAGTTAAGCTGGAGAAACTTTTACAATTAACGATTTGATTTCTGAAATATAGCAAAATAATGGCTTCAACAGTCTATTTATTGTGACTATTGTCTTGCCTGCAGGGTCGTGTTAGGACCAAGACTGTGAAAAAGGCCTCAAGAGTCATTATCGAGAAATATTATCCACGTCTGACCCTTGACTTCCATACCAACAAGCGTGTCTGTGATGACATTGCCATCATCCCAAGCAAGAAACTAAGAAACAAAATTGCTGGGTAAGAGCTTACCAAATACTTATAATTTCTCACTTCTGATTTTTGTTTAAGAAATAGAAAACATGTTCTGTGGTTCTATCGAGTTTTAGTATAAATCTACTAGCATTCTATCACAAATGCCATTCTCTGATTGGCTACGATACTCACTATCTATCCTGTTGTAGTTAGTGAGTAGCAAAACAGTGAGCGCTTATTAACAAAATGATGGCCACTTCTTTGCATTTTCAAGGTGACTGTGAAAAGGTTTTAGATGAAGTTTTGAACGACTAGTAGATATACACCAAGACAATTAGGTTACTCGCTCTCGATTTCTATGCATGATAGTTGACTATGGCTGTGCCCTCATCGTCTATCATGCGATAGAAATTGAGAGCGAGTAATCTAATAATTAGCTCAAAAGTGAGCGTTCAAAAAGTTTGGCTGTGTCCATTTCACTGCAAACCAAGGCCCTCAGGAGTTAGTTTAGAGTCCCCGGGACTGGAACATATCCCCCGAGTCCCGGGAATTGGAGCCGAAGTTGATCAAATTCATGATGCGCGTAACGTGGTGTCGGCTACTGTTTCAGTCTTA